ATACATACATATATATATATATATAAATATTTTGCAAAACCAAATTTCAAACACATTTGAAATCCACTGCCGGCAGTTTTGGTTTCCATCAGAGAGAGTACATTTCCCGATCATTCACTTTGTCCGACAAAGGGGCTGATTCTGTCACTATGATCACCTACTGAGGTGAATTCTCAAGCTGCCCCAACATGCCCAGGTTTTGACCCCCTCTAAGGATCTCACTAATTGCCATATCAAAAGACAGCCCAATCCAACACCTAGTGCAGTACCATAATCGAGTCTAGGGGTCAGGTGTAACTTTCCAACTTTGCCCATCTGTCTCCAAGGTCTAAGGCAATACTGAAAATTGGTCCGGTTCAGGTTTTCAAGAAAACCCACACTGCATGTACCTCAGGTCTCACCTTGGCAGCTGAGATAAGCCACCCCAACCAACTTGGTGGCACATCAATGTCAGCCTTGGCAGGATAGACCTCCCAGATCTACCCAATGACTGTGAAGATTATAACTAACACGAGTCTCATAAGTGTCCAGTTTATATGTAAAAACACAGAAATACACCACAATGACATGAATCAATTATGTAATTTATTCATTTACAATAAATGTCAAAAGATACATCAATCTGATTGGAGCTAAGGGCATAACTGTCCAACAACTCCCACTTGCACTTAGGTCTAATCGGGTACAAGCTGGAGTCCTATACTTTCCACGTGTTTCTCAAACACTTTCTTTGTAAGCGGTTTAGTCAATGGGTCTGCTACATTCTCCACTAATGCTACTTTTTGAATTATGACGTCCCCCCTACCAACTATCTCCCATAGTACATGGTACTTCTTCTCGATGTGCTTCGACTTCAATTGGGCTTGTGGTTCCTTAGCTTGTGGGATGGGTAATGAGTTAGACGGAACTATTCCTAATTCCTGAATGAATTTCTTCATCCAGACGGTTTCTTTAGCAGCTTCACTTGCAGCAATGTATTCGGCTTCGGTTGTGGAATCTGCGGTGGAACCTTGTTTGTTGCTTTTTTAGCTAACTGCACAGGCCCCCATCATAAAGATGTACCCAGATGTAGACTATATATCATCTGGATCTGACTAGAAATTGGCATCAGTATACCCTTGGATCTGTAGTGAACTACCATCGAATACCAGACAAAACTCATTTGTCCTTCGAAGGTATTTCAGTATGCCCTTCATAGCTATCCAGTGTTCCTGTCCTGGGTTAGACTGTTATCTACTTACCACACTCACTGCCTAAGCAATGTCAGGACGAGTGCACAACATGGCATATATGATGTTCACCATGGCTGAGACATAGAGAATCTCCTTCATGCTCTCAATCTCCTCGAGAGTCTTGTGAGACATACCCTTGGAGAGAGTGACTTCGTGCCTGAAAGGAGCATTTCCTTTCTTGGAGTTCTCCATACTATATCTCTTGACAAGCTTGTCAATGTAAGTATACTAGGATAATCCAATTATTCTTTTTGATCTATCTCTATAGAGTCGAAGTCCCAAGATATTGGTGACTTCTCCA